GGTTGCCGACCAAGCTGCGCTCCGCCACCAGCAGACTCTCTCAGGGCCGAGGCCGGGGCTCCACCTGGGCCGGAGCGCCTCCTCACCCCAGCTCTCCAGGGGGGACGGGGTCTTTCCAGCCGCAGCCGCAGCAACAGCAGCAGCAGCAGCAGCAGCAGCAGCAGCAACAGCAGCAACAGCAGTCTTCCCTCGATCTGGCACTTGAGCCCAAGGGAGAGGCTCGCCGAGGGAGGGGGAGAGGGGTGAGGCTGCGGGGGGGAGGGGCGGGGAGAGGCATGAGAAGTGGAAGAAGCCATGAAGAGTTGGAGACGGAGGAGAGCAGCAGCAGCAGCAGCAACAGCAGCAGCTCCAGCAGCGACGAGGAAGAGGGGCAGAACAGCGGGAGGGGGCTGGATAAGGAGAACCAGCCACAGTCGAGGCGAGAGGCAGCCAAAGAGAGAGAGGAGGACCTGAGCGAGGCGGCCAACCAAAACGGAGCAGAGGAGGACGAGGAGGAGAGCGAGCAGGACGGTGAGACGGTGAGGAGAAAAGTTAAACTCCAAAATCCCAGAACCAGAGCCCAGCGGGACCCGTCGGCCATCGAAGCCATCTCCCCTCAAGCTCCCCCTTCCACAATACACAACCAAAGCAGAGTCCTCGCCAGACCCCCCATTAGGAACCGCGGTCCTGATCCACACTCCAGTAAGCACGCACGCCCACACACACCGAGCGGACACACAGACACTCGAGAGAGGCTGGATGACTCTCAGAAAACCAGGCCGGCTAAACTGAGCAACGGCGCCTCCTCTTCGTCGACCCCCGATCTTCCACATCTGCGCATCCCTCTGTCCGCCCTGCAGGAGGGGGGGGGCGAGGCAGAGAGGGAGAACGGAGCCAGCGGGCCGGGCTGCGAGAGGGAGGTCTGGGTCTCTGTCTTCCGTTACTTGAGTCGAGCAGATCTCTGCGTCTGCATGGCCGTCTGCAAGAACTGGTACAAATGGTAAGACCTGTTGGATGATAGGGGTTTACTCGGAAGGGGGTTATAATATCTGATTCTCTGCATCGTGTTCCTGTTTGGTAAAATATCCGTTTTCGTTAAGCTCCAATGCTAATTATTTTATTTTCATTTTTCATGAGAAATGGAAACATCATTTCACAGATTTCTTCTTCAGGTCGTAGTTTGAGGTTTAGGTTGGCTGTCATTAAAACAGCCATCTAAAGGCGATCAGATTGTTCTGAGTTGCGGTTATTTTTACCGTTAGTTTCATGCAGACGTTGAAAGTCAAAAGGTTTTTTAAAGTATTTGAATTAGAGAAGTGGATTTCAGTTGTCACAAACTTCTTTCCTAATTGTTTTCAATATCTTTTCTAAAGCAAACTCTGTGGTGACATGGTGTGTATCCGCATTAATAACCAAGTAGTGTCAGTAGGTCATATTGCTTTGCAGATAAATAACTTGAAATGGATGTGTCCTAAATCTGTGTGTGCTTGTTCGTAGGTGTTTAGACAAGCGGCTATGGGCCCGGATCGACCTGAGCATCAAACGCACCGTGACTCCTCAGGCTCTGACGGGCATCATAAAGAGACAGCCAATCACACTCGATCTCTCTTGGACCAACATCTCTAAAAAACAGCTCAACTGGCTCGTTGGCCGACTTCCTGGTACGTCAAATACACTCTTGATTTTCAACCAATGGTAACAAACTTTTTTTTAAATCGCATATTTACTTTTTTATTTTATAAAATCTGGTTTGCAACCAGATGCATTTTGAATGAGTTTATTTTTAGTTAGCCCCACCTCCACCGTATTTGATCATTTCCTTTGTTTTGCAGGGCTGAAGGATCTGATGCTGGCCGGGTGTTCATGGTTATCTATTTCCGCTCTCTGCTCGTCTGGGTGCCCTCTCCTCCGCTCTCTTGACCTGCGGTATGCAGACGGAGTCAAAGACTCTCAGATCAGGGACCTAGTCACCCCTCCAGGTGAGGAAAGCCTCTGAAACTCTTGCATCCTAGTATCCCCTACGTTATACTCTTTCTTCTCATTTTTCCCTTTTCTTTAAAAACTCAGCCTTTCTTCTTCTCTTCTTCCAGGTTGTGACAATCGCAGTCAGTTGCGCAGCATGCAGTGTCTGCGTCTAGCCGGCCTGGACATCAGCGACTCCACCCTGCGCCTGGTGATCCGCCACATGCCACATTTAACAAAACTGGACATCTCCCACTGCAACAACCTCACGGACAACTCCATCAACCTGCTGACTGCAGTGGGCTCCTCCACCCGGAACACCGTCACAGAACTCAACCTGGGAGGTGAGAGATTCATGAGGATAGATCATATTAAAGAAGCAAAACTATGATCTAAACTACAGATGCACCAATTTTCATTTTTTTGGCCAACTAAAATGTTGTTTACAAGTCTCCGCTTTGGTCAAATGAAAAGTCTGATATGAAACTGTTGATGATCATTTTGAATGGCCCTTTGTTCTTGTCTCTTCCCCAGGTTGCAGTAAACTGTCAGATACGTGTCTAAAGTACCTCCGCCGCCTCGCCTGCATCTCGCTGCTCGACCTGCGAGGCTGTAACGGCGTCTCCCGAAACGCCTGTGAGGCCTTCATCTCCGAGCTGTCAGTCAACATGCTCTACTTCCTATCAGATGAGAAACTGATCCAGAGGATATCCTAGGCTCTGCTCCTGTGACTGCAGAGGCAATACGAGTTGCACGGGCAGCAGGTCCTGATGTGATTCTGTTTGACAGAAAGGACACAGACATGCAGGGAAGTTACCAAGCACCTGTTTCACATCAGAGGAGGGCTGGGGTCTAAAGTCACTAAACTGGTGTTGGCGAGAGGCTCGTCAAAGCTGAAACAAAGTTTCTTTAACTTTCTATACATTTGTTCCATATACCCTTAACAGTAAACTCAGCTTTCTTCAGTTATTTTTGGAAATAATGTTGTGTTGGAAAAGTAAAATGACTATTTTTGCCAGGAGTGGGATGACAATTCATGTTCTGTATTGAATTGCTCATAACAAAGAGTTTAACTCTTCTTTGGACAGACGCCATCTTGATTCCTATTTGGGAAATACTTTTTAGTTTCACCTTTGGGGTATAACCGCATTGTTACGTTTGGATGATGCCCTTTAAGTCTTATTTATGATGTCATTTATCATTTTAACTCATCAGCTGCATCTGGGTGCTCTAAATAGATGGTTATTTTTGTCAGATTCAAAGAGAGCAAATGTTTAGAAGTTTTATGACGTCCGCTTCATGCACAGCCACTATGCGTTGAGAGTTTTTATTTTCAAGATGACTTAAGGTGACAGTTCTTTGTGATTTATAAAGTGAGTGACTGCAATGCCTTGTGTTTGTACGTTCAGCTTAGAAAGGCATTTGGGTGCAGCAGGAGTTCAGTGGTATACATGGTGAGTGCACATGCACATCGAGTGGATGTGCTTTTGTAAAAAGGGTAAAAAGACTGTGAGAAGGCAATCGACATGGCAACAACACCTCCCCCCAGCAAAGGGCAGGTTGCATTAAATAGTGAGCCAAGGGTTAGGTGTTGGATAAACGGTGCAACAAACGTTAGACTTCAGGTGCTATTATTTCCAAACTTGTTTTGTTTTTGTACAGAGACAACCTTTACAGTCACATGTTATTATTCTAGATAAAACTGCTCCCCATCCCTCTTTGATACATTTATTTTCTTTCATTGATGAAAATGTCCAAGTATCTACTTTTCTCTGAACTTCATGACCTTGTTCAATTCAGTGTAGGGATGTACAATTTAGTTTGGGGGCTTGGGTTGCTCATTTTTTGGTTCCGTTATAAAGTGTAGTGGTTCTGTATCAAAAGGCCTCTTTCCAGACTGCTCTCCAGGCCATATCCCTTCAAATGAAAATAAGTATATCAAAATATACTTGTGTAAATGTGTGTTCCTCTTTTCGATTATCAAAACGGGATTCCTGTAGCATTGTAATTATTTTCAGAATACTTTTTTTCACTTTATGTTATTTGTGTTATTTTTCAATAAAAAAAAACAGAAACATCTGGTCGGTCTTATCACAAAAATGCGGTGGTGGAAGAAGAACTATATATGTTTCTTAGATAAAAAGTAATAATAACAGTGTAGAAGTTGTTACAACTCAACGTCCTGCAATCAAAAATATGTACCACTTTACAATAAGACCCTTATAAAGGATTCATAAACGGTTTATCATTAGTTTAGGAATTAGGTTGTAAACACTTTATTAATCATTAAGAACCATGTTTAAATCAGTTCTAACATAGTTTTCACACGTCAACACAGGCTCACTATTTGGCAAGACGACTAAGCCTTATATTGGCTACTTAGCGAGAATCAACTCAGTGAGCAACAGATACCAAGGATGCTGGCTGATGAAGAAGACGAAGTAAGCGAAGTAGCCAATATAAGACTTCGCAGTACAGATGCTTGTGGGCTCACTATTTGGCAAGCAACCGGTCACAGTTGCCCTGTTTATCTCGTGTCTTATAAAAGCTTATTAATGATTTATAAAGTGTTCACGACACATCTAATTAATACATGAATTACAAACTATTCGTAAACCCTTTATAAGGGTAGCCTTATTGTAAAGTGGTACCCAAAAATCTTAAGTAAAAGTTCCAAAGTATTTGCATCCAAATATACTTCAAACACTTCATGTAGTAAAGTAAATGCAGAATGTTGATTTGAAGATAATGGTATGTTATATTTTTGAATAATTATTGATGCAATAATGTGTTAATATAAGGACTATTTCTTAGCCCTTCTGGTATGTAGTGGAGTAGAAGTAGGCTAGCATAACATGGCATCATTCCTCCAGCTAAATTAGTAAAAATAAAAGTAGCTTGTTCACGATTGAAATGTAAAATTACACTCCAATTCTTGCTCGATGTTCACTGGTTTATTTGCCCTGTCAGATCAGAATGAGCCCCTCCTCTGCTCCCCCCAGCGTCTCTCCAGAACCTGGAAATAAAGCGACGCCCACGTAAATAAATAAATAAATAGCGCTGATGCAGCTTTAAATAGACTTCATCGATGCAGCTAGATGAGTTAGTGATCGGGACTGGTCTCTATCTGCAGCTACTGTCACCTGCACCATATGGGATGGCTTCAGCTCGGGTGACCTGGATGTGAAAGTGGAATAAAGGCCGAATGTGGATTTATTTTTTGACACACCGTGCTTGACATCCCTGCTATATAAACAGGGGTGGTTACAGTGACAGCGGGGGAGCTAGCTAACTTTATCAGCTGGCGATTTCACCCATATTTATTTCTTAAACCCAGCGTGAAAGAGAGATGGACGGACTGGGGAGGTACATTTCTGCTCGGCTGCATTAGTTGTCTTGCTTTGTGAATAATGGAAAGCAGGTGTCAAGTGGAGAAGGAAACAATGTTGTTATTAGCCAGTTAGCCACCGTTAGCTCAGCTAGCTGTCAGTTAACTACAGCAAATTAGTGGGCTGAGTTAGGTGAGCTAACTCAGCCCACTCATTTAAATAGGCACGCACATAACTCTACTTTTTTGATGCCCAACGTTATTGGATAAACTGCCTAGTGACAGTCTTTCCTGTAAAGTATTTCAGCATTCACCCATTTTCTAGCCAGCTAGCCAGCCAGTTGTGGCGATCAGCTGGTCTGGTGTGGTGTCAGTGCAATCAGTCGGCTGCAGGAGTCATATTGCACAAATAGATTTTATACTGTGTTAACTGTCAACCATGGCACAAGAAGGGTTTCCTCTGCATGCTCTGGTGTGGAACAATCAGTACCTGGAGCTCGATCGAGAGCTGCAGAAGAAAGAGGTAAGGAGGTGTATTTCTGCAGCTGATGTGTGTGCAGTGCACGGATGCTATTGTTATAGTATGCACTGCATTGCGCTGAGGCTGCTTGTGTGTTTGGTTCTGCAGCAGGATGTGGAACGCCTGGATCCGAGAGGGCGCACCCCGCTGGAGCTGGCGGTGTGTCTGGGCCACCTGGAGTCTGCCCGGGTGCTGCTGGGAGGTTCTGCAGACCCCACACACCACAACTCACAGGGTTGGACCAGTGAGTGTGTGGCTGCTGGATTCATGTCCTCAGGTTGCTTAGATATTTAAGAAGCACCTACTGCAATTACATGTGGATGTGGGTTTCAGTTCTGCAGGAGGCGGTGAGCACCGGAGACCCAGAGCTAGTCCAGCTGGTGCTTCAGTACCGAGACTACAAACGGGCCACTGAGAGACTGGCGGGCATCCCAGAGCTGCTCAGCAAGCTAAGACAGGTAAACCGCTTTCATTTGGCCATTTCTTTCAAATATGTAAGCCTCTAGGTCTTGAAGTCTTACCTGTTGCAAAGAGCACATAAACCACGCCTTAGAGCTATATTTGTATAATTCTAAAACAATAATGTATATCATAATATTGAATCATCAAACAAAACAAAAGACACACTTAATATAACTATTTACAAAATAAATGTTTTAAAAACATGGAGTTAAGGAGGTGGTTAAACATGGTGAGATAAAACAAATAACATAATTATATGTTATTGTATTATTTTATACAAGTGCCACTCCGTACAGGTGGGTTTTTAAAAATCTCTTTAAACTGAGGCACTGTTCCATCATGTTCACAACTAAACCAGAAAGCATTAACATTTCTTCTTTTCCAGGCGAGAGACTTCTATGTGGAGATGAAGTGGGAATTCACCAGTTGGGGTGAGTGTGTTTCACAGAGGTCAGGTTCAGCACCACAGTGCAGGGACAGCTCCGAGACAGCAGCTGTCAGTCACTTTGAAACATTGGTACACACGAGACAGGGCAGGATCATTTGAAGCTTTAAAACAATACAGATGACTGATAACTCTTCTAAAGTGTTATCTGTAATTAGTTTTTATTATAAAGATATTTACCAGCATTATTAAGTCATGTAATGTGTTTTGTCGAGTTTGGTTACTTTGCCTCTTCTAATCTGCAGAAGATGCAGCAGTTACAATTCTTACATTGTAGTACTATTGTGATTCAGTAATTGCAAGAAAGATCATACATATATGCAATGTGGTATTGTACTACACATATATTCTTTAATAAATTAGAGCAAGACATTTAAAGACTGTACTGTTGATGATTTCACCATACTCAAGTCCCAGTCAGTTTGCTTTAAGGAAGCAGTATAGAGCTAGTTGACATACACATCCATTCAATGGCAAAGAATTTCAGTTCTACATTTGATCTTTGCTTACTTTTATGTGTTTTTAATCATTATAGGTTGTAAAATACTTTGTGTATCCATGGTACTACAAGAATGAAGGTCTACCTCTTGTGGTAACCGCTAGAAACCCAGAGTTCCCAACACAAACCAAGCCAAGGGTGAAGGACTTAAAAAGGGCGTCTTACAATATAAAAGCATGATGTTTTTACACCACACAATTTCCAGAAAACTTTGGCATGTAAATCTCTTTTCTTTTGCACTGTACTTCACCCATTCCCGGTTTGTTACCTCACTGTTTGCCTCTTGGTTTCTAAACCGCTTCGCCTCTTCTTTGATCTCCCTCTCAGTGCCTTTGGTGTCGAAGGTGTGTCCTAGTGACGTGTACCGGGTGTGGAAGAGCGGCTCGTGCCTCCGAGTGGACACCACTCTCCTGGGCTTTGAACACATGACCTGGCTGAAAGGACGACGCAGCTACATCTTCAAGGGAGAAGGTGCCCTCCTTCATTTTTTTCATGGAAACTTGCCATCCTGAAAGCTGTAGAAACAAACCTGTTGGAGGTTTAAATGTGTCTGTTGTGTGCTCCTCTTAGATGAAGGTGCCGTGGTGATGGAGGTGGACCACGAGAAGCAGGTGGTGTACACTGAGCCGCTGGTGTTGTCTCCCCGTGACGCCACCTCCCTCCTGGCAGCCATGCAGCCGTCGCAGGAGAACACAGCGCAGAGAATCACATCGCCCATCGTCTCCACGCACCTCAACACTCGCAACATTGCCTTTGAACGGTAACAAGATCAAACTGTGTTCATATCTACAAACTAGAATTGTTACAGCCACAAAACCTGATATCAGCCTGGAAACAGCCCATTATCGTCCACATTACACCATGTCCCCACAAACATTGACTTTGTGAGCCCTTACTATGATCTCTTTGCTTGTTTAGGAACAAGTCTGGGATCTGGGGCTGGCGTTCTGAGAAGAGTGAGTCGGTCAGCGGGTACGAAGCCAAGGTAAGTCACAGCAGAGCCAATTTGATGAAAACTTGCTTAAGCTTGATACTGTATGTTCGCCAGAAACCATTTTTATCCAGGATGATGACAAGACTGCGACCTAGTTATTAAACAATAATATTGACTCTCAACATTGATTCGTCAGCATTGTAGGCAAAAAAAAACTCAATTAAAATGCATTCAAAAAAATAAAACTTCACCATTATCTTAATCTATTTTCCTTGACATAAAAGGGAGGAAAATATTACAAAGGGAGAAGGAAACAAAGTAATACATTTTGGCCAGAATATTAGTCTCATTTACCCTTACTCACACAAATATGTTAATATGAACTTAACTTGAACAATATGTAAAAGGAAATGTGTTCGAGAGTGTTTTCTATCTTTGTGTCCAGGTGTACAGTGCCACCAATGTGGAGCTGGTGACTCGGTCCAGGACAGAGCATCTATCAGACCAGGATAAGTCGAGGAGCAAAGGTGAACACACACTGTGTCAAATTAGTGTTATCAGGTTCCAAACTAAGTGCAGAGAAAATCAAACTAAGCCTCAGTACATGTAAGGTAATGTGGAAAACATTCCTGCCCACTGCAATAACTCTCCATAGCTTCTCTTGGACTTAAAATCCCACTGTACATTTTACATTTTTATATTCAGTTTAATATTTAATATTCCATCCCTCACATACTTATGTATATATAATAACTTGCTTTATATTTTTGTGTTGTTAATTTGTAAATTGAACATGTATATTTCTACTTTCTTGTTTATTTCTAGTCTTTGTCATTTCTATTGTAAAATGCCATTTTTTTTTTAAGCTGCTGCAACACAAAGATTTCCCAATTTGGGATCAATAAAGTACTATCTGATCTTATCTTATCTTAAATCAAACAAAATCGATGACTGAGTATTTCTATTTGACTCATAGAACAAATGAAATGTTCTCTTCATGACTGACCCTTTTATTCTAGACGTACCCCTTGCCTTCCTTGTAGAGTCTATAGTGAATAAGCAGAGCAGAGTGAGGATGATTTCCCTTCTGTATTCCCACTCAGGCTCAAAGACTCCTCTGCAGTCCTTCCTGGGGATTGCTGAACAACATACAGCTCAAAATGGGGTAAGAGTCTCGACTGCACCTGTGCATCTCACACACACCTCCTGCAGTCTTCTTTGATGAACACAACGTCACTCCTAACTCTCTCTGTGTTTCTGTCAGAGTAATGTGTTGCAGTGTGCCAGTCCCCACAACCCCACCGCCATCACAGCCGAGGAGTACTTCGACCAGGAGTTCAACCTGAACGACCGCGACATCGGACGTCCCGTCGAGCTCACCAGCAAAGTCCAGCGGTACGATGCAACCCTGGAAACACGCGGCAGTAATGTTCATCACCAATAGCAACAGGCCTTAAAGCTCTCTTGTGTGTCTCCGTGTCCTCTCCAGATTTAAAGCGACGCTGTGGCTGAGTGAGAGTCACCCTCTGTCCCTGGCCGAGCAGGTGACACCCATCATCGACCTCATGGCCATCTCCAACGCCCACTTCGCCAAACTCCGTGACTTCATCACCCTGCGCCTTCCGCCAGGCTTCCCTGTCAAGATAGGTGGGTATGAGAGGTCACACAGTAGGGTTAGGAGATGTGTTTGAAAGCTAAGTCTCTTCGATTTTTTAAGTGAAATAAATAAATAAAATAAACTCACAAATTATCAAAAGAGAATATTTATTCACAGAAATCAGAAAAATTAAATTAATCTTCTGAATTAAAGTGTTTCTCTTTCACAGAACTAGGATGATCTTTATTATCTTGTTAACTCATCAAGTAGACAGAACTTGCAAAATAAACCATAATTCACCAAATTCAATACGAACATACGCTAGCTATAAATACTGTTTTCCCTTGCTGCCTGTCTCTGCTGTTTCTGGCCTCTTCGTGCTTCTTTGTGATGCTCCAGTTAGTCTGAGCAGTCTCCTATTTAAGTATATGCAGTTTCGCATAGTCAGCCTTATCTCCACACTTTGGACAGCGCTGTTCCAGGTGTAGCTCTCGACACGTGAGAACTAAAATGGTGAGAACTAGATCTTAATTCTGGGCTCATTTGTAAGCGTGGTTCATGCTTTTGTGTGTGCCATCTGACGCCTCCTCACTCATGATTATAACTATGTGTTTTTATTTTCACTTCCCTCTTGTGCTACTGGAATAATCAGCCATTTAAATCTTTCGTCGATTTCTATCTGTCCTCCAGAGATTCCCCTGTTTCACGTGTTGAATGCCAGAGTGACGTTCAGTAACCTGTGTGGCTGCGACGAGCCGGTCAGCTCTGTGACGCTTCACACACCGGAGACCCCTGAAGAAGCTGGTAAATACACACTAGTTATGATCTCATAAAAAAAAAAACTAGGACTTTCTTTTCTTCGTTTTTTGCAAATAAAGGACTTAAACAAATAAAATAAGGTTGTAGTTGTTTCCAAAACATAGCACAGGTTTGAAAGTGCTTGCTAAATTGGACATATATTTACTTGCACGTGCAGTGATGTTGTAACCTGTCTTCCCCCAGGTGAGGCTCCCCCTCCCTTCCAATGTGAGGTGGACCCCTCAGTGTTTGAGCCCCCCGCAGACTACGCTACTCTTGGTCCCGGCCGCAGCGAGCCAATGAGGGACGAGGATGATAACCTGCTGCAATTTGCCATCCAGCAGAGCCTGCTGGACGCCGGCACAGAGAGCGACCAGGTTAGAATGATCAGACTCAGAGTTACGTGTGTGACGGGGGATTGATTCTTCCCTTTTTTATATTTAAAGGCAGGTTTTCAGTATCTAAGTGTGCTTCTTAGGTGACCATCTGGGAGGCCCTGACCAACACTCGCCCTGTGCCCCCGTCTCCGCTGTACGAAGGCGACTCTCAGCTGGAGAGGTGAGCTGACTCAGAATTCAACTCTATCATTTGATATAGCCACGATTAATTGATTACATTTTTGTGTCTCCAGTACAAAAACAATGAAAAGATATTTAGACTTTTTTCAAATGATTGATACCCAGTGAATATGTGGATAGGTGTTAATTATTTAACAGAGTCTGTGCTATAATTCAGGTAACTTAATGGATCAGCTCAGTACAGATATGTACTTTCTTTGGTCTTTAAGTGTAAATATGAACATTTGTATTTGTCACTGAACTCATGTCTGTTCATAATTCCTTCGTATTATTGGAAACCCCTTGCTGGTGGAGTCATTTAATTAAACGTCTCTAAATAGAGGTCGGTGATTAATTCGTTCTTCCTCCTTCTCTTGGGAACAGTACCTCCCATTCATACTGTAATGGAGCTCCGCAGTGAACCTTCCCTGTTAAGCTATCTTTGTTCTTTGTTTAATTACACTTCACTCCAAGTCTTTATATCTTTATTTTTTTTCTCTCAGGGCGATCCAGGAGTCTCTGTCCATCTCACTGTCCAGCAGAGAGGGAGAGGACACGGCGGACCCCAGCCAGTCAGCCCCCGTCTCCCCGTCCGACCCCCCCGTCGACTCCCACCTCTCCTACAGCACAGTGACCAACCCACGGCTGTCCGGACATATCGGCATGGCAACCAGCTTCGACGAGCAGCTGCGCCTCGCCATGGAGATATCGTGCCGGGAACAGGAGGAGATAGACAGGTGAGGCAGGAGGGAAACAAAGAGAAGGGCATGTGCATTATATTACCTGAGATAAAGCACACCTTCATGCAGGACATTTACCGGTCCATCACAGGACTAACGTACAGTATGTGGACCGGGGTAACACAAATAAGCAGTTTTTCTTCGTAAAATAGATACAAACAATGTCTTTTAAGAAAAACTACAACAATATATCCGTGTTTAGATACGATAAGAACAGATATGATAGGACTTTATTCATCCCGAAGGAAATTGTTGTGCCAGAGTTACAAAAACACAATAAACACAGCAGAATAATAATACAACTGTACACTAACAGTGCAGTAAAAAGAGCAATTCAATAACTACAGGAAACATAAATGGTCACATAATTAATGTAAATATTTACAGCATTTAGTAGTGCAAAAACCGTAATGGTCGTTACGTAATTGCACGTTATTTATCAAACATTATTACTAATAATAATAGTAATATTGCACATGTTATATAGCAGAGAGTGTTTTGTAATGATGGTAATGGTATTTATATTGCACATAGTGGTGGTGTGGAAGTTCCCTTTACTGAAGGGTGAAGAGTTATAAACCAATTTAAAATAAACATAAATGTAATATTTGTTTAAGTTTTTAAAGCTATAATCACTACTGAAACACGAGTAAGCATGAATATCTGTCACCTGCCTGTTGAATAACAGAAACTAAACAGAGGTTTCAGGAGATCAGCATGTGCCACAATTGTTTCCCAGTTCATTCCTTTGTATTTCACATGCAGTCTGCTCTTGTATATGCACAGACATTATGTAAAAGTCGTTCAGATGTCCAATGAGTATATTTTTTGTCTATGTGTATTTTCATTCTTTGAGACATTATACAATACCATAACGGAAAAGCAACTAAAACGAATCAAAGTCACTCAAAACGAACTACAAACGAGTGTTCCCACATAGAGAGTGCAGCAATCTGCTCTTCCATCTCAGACTCCCAACTTGGCGCATATGGTGGCAAACAGCGTCTGCGACTCAGCGGGGTGTCCAAATCTGTTCTTTTCCTCGGTCCCATGTTCAAAGTTGTGCACATTAATACAGAGATGGCAAAAATAGAAACAAATATTGTTAAGACAAGGTTGTATAGTGGGAACAGTGCTTTTTGTTATTGCTGTTTGATGGTCATACGTGAGCCTTGGCTGACTTATTACTGTCTGATTGAAGAAAGTACACTTTACATTTTTTATAAACATTTAAAAACACCTTCATGGATATTTTGACCCCACTCTTCTACATTCATGATAGTTTTGCCTTAGCACACTTTTAATCTGTGACCAGAGTTAACTTTTAAACTGAGACTGTTGTATCTACAGGGAGTTCTTTTAAAATATCTACTCCTTTTTCTCTTGAAACCCAATGTTTACAACTGTCTGTTCTTGTGTCTGTTTACTGAAACCCGACCTCAGCAACAACAACCGAAATGTTGACGGTTACGGTGTAGCCAGTGGCCATATTGTCATTATACAAGCAGAACATAATTGCAGTTGCGTCAGCTTAAAATAATGAATTTTAATAAAACTATTTTATAAAATATAATTTAGGCAGATTGTCAAATAAAATAATGATAAATTACAGGTCAAACATGTGCAAAACGTTAGCAGGAGCGACAAAAGACTAGTAAAAGTACATGGGAGTGACACATAAGTATAACCACAAGTATATATGTGTCTTATTTGTGTCACAGGGAGCAGAAGGAGGAGGAGACTGAGCTGGAGAGGATCCTGCAGCTGTCACTCACCGAGAAGTAATGTCACAACAACAACAACAACAACAACAACAATGGAGGCGTTTCTTCATTGGAGAACAATCTTCTTTATTTATTCAGTTTTTATCTTTTAAATCCTAAGGTGTTAAGTTATTACAGATATTTGATTGCTGCTACGAGAGAGTGTGAGAAGTGTGAGATGAATGAGGAGAGGTGGATTCTCTGAAACACTCTGCAGTGAAGGAGGAGACAAAAGGGAGTTTCTTTTCTTTTGTTATTGAATATTTTTCACAGTCTTGCTGTCTTTACTGAGTGATGAATGATTCCTTTAAGACTTTAAACTACAACATGTTCCATGATAATTATTAAAAATAAGAATCTCAATCTAAATGGAATAACTTGTACAAATATATGATTATATTATTCAAAACAGTTATGTTGGCTTATGTGTGGAAAAATAAAGAATAATGATCATCCTGGATCATGTTTTTTTAATTCTGTGCTTTTGAACAAAAGAAAGAAACGTAAGATTCACCGGTATGTGCAGTTTTGTATTTTACAGTTTGATCATTCTTTCATATCAAAATGTACAATCGTTCTGATCTGATGTAATGTTCATTTTTACACTTTTAAAAACACAATTAATGAGCAAAAAAGAAAGCATGATAACCTTCCAAACTGTGAGACAAAAAAACATCCGTATCACATGTAACTGATCCATTGATTTCAGTTGTTAATAATAAATATAACAATTAATCGTTAGCCTTGAACTCCTATTCTCATCTTTAAAAATCTGTTTGCTATTTTCTCGCATATACCCAACTACTGTATCGAAATGGCGAGGGTCTCAAACGAATGGCTCGAGGTCCAGATTCAAAATACATGTGTTTAGAATGATTTGTTTTTGTTATCCAGACATTTGGATAACTCACGCAACCATGAGTTTAACATGTTTGTATTGCAATATCTCTAAAATACTGGAGAGATGTTAAAAAGTATCTACCTATAAAACATTTGGTACGTTCATCTACTCCAAAGCACAAGATGTAATAATGTTGTTTCCCTGTTTCTATATAGCGCAATCACATGTTTTAGAAACTACTATTACCACTTTTACTTATGACCAAAGCCAAACTAATGTAATTCCCATCGGCCAATGTTGTACTTGCGTGTTTAGTGCCAACATTTGAGTTTGAGACCCCTGCGTTAAGAGATTGAGAACATTTTTACTTTGTACGGTACAATTTCTGAAAGTGACTAAAGGTGGCAGGAGCGTGCATTCTCCCAGCTGACGTTACAGGTTAAACATTAAATGAGCCTTTTATGAGGTCTATGAGCCCAGCGGACTATTGCTCAGATGGTTGAAGTGTTTCCGCTCCACCGCACAGCGGCTGACGGAGGTTTCTCACTGCTCTGATTCTTGTTCGTGTTGACTTCCTCAGTCTCAGTGTACAGGTTTTTTCTCCGTAACTTTAAAACCCCCTCCAGCTCTCTATCCATCTGAACTGTGTTAGATAGAAAACATAAAAAAAAAATGTTTTCCCACTTTTCAAGCTATAAAAAACATTTCCATATACAGCGTAGGAAAAGAAACAGGAATAACAGTCTAGTTTACATCCATGTCTGATAAAGTCATCACTTCATCATTTTGTCCGATAAGACATTTACTTGAAACTTTCTAAATAAGCTGATGAATACTGAGTTATGGCCAAAAATGTGTTTTTGAGGTTAGAGTGATTTTGACTTTTGACCAAAAAATCCTAAGCAGTTCATCCTTGAGTCTAACAGCATTCAACAGAAATTTTAACCGTTCCTGAGATGTCTCATTCACAAGAAAGGGACGGATGGGAGGTCAGAGTGACATGACTTTTACAATTTGACTCCAATAATTAGTTAATCTTATAGTCAATGTGGAAGTGTATGCCAAAGGCGTTCCTATAATGCTACCAGCTCACCTGTTGTGGGATTTAGACTGCATTTCTTAGTCATGTACACTTTAAGTGCTTTTCTATTACTAATGTTAAAACCAATATTCATTCATTCTCACCTGACTTTAGGTTGGTATCATGATCATCTGGCATCACGTAATCTCCGCCGTCTTGGTTTGTTGGAGGCGGCGGAAGTTCTTCTTTGGTCTGTGAATGCAGCATAGGGGCCACTTTTGCTTTGGGTACTGTTTTAAGTATAGCTGAGGAGATGCCGACACACTTTGGGACAGGAGACATGTCTGTTGAACACAGATAAACACTGTTAGGGGTTGTGTACTTGTCACTGAAGTCTTCTCACAGCAGAGTTCCACTCACCGATGCAAGTGTCGTAGGGCTGAGGTGCCATGTAGGGGTGAAGCTGGTACTCAGTCTTGTGAAGGAAGAATTTCAGAACCTCATTCAAGGAGGAGACTGTCACCTACAGAGGAGAGGACACATGAAGACAAGCCACGAAAAAGAAAAACGTAATTTTACAAAGTTTGGTACTTACTGCTGTGTCCAGTTCAATGACAAACCCCACGTTTGTGGAGGTCACTCTGAAGTTCTTCAGGATGGGTCCACTGAAAGGCAACAAGTGGAGGATAATTTGCTTAATGGTGCCTTTAATAAACAACAACACATGGATTCTTTGTATATTTGGTAGCAAATCTGACAAAAACAGGGATTCATTCATCTCATATTGTGCCTAACAAATCAGGTCTGGCATTATTAATCTGCAGATGATCCAGGTTCAAAACAAGACTAAACTTTCTATGGTTGTACGTTTAAAAGCTGAAATGAGGCCTGAAAGGCATTATGAAAGGCTTGATTAGAGCTGATTGCTGTAAAGGCCTTTGGCTAATGACGCAGCTGCTAATCACTGAGTGAAAGGTCAGCAGCCATAGACAGTTGATCACAAAAATAATAAAGCTAAAGGGTCTGACATCGTACACCTCCCTTCAGGCTTACGCAGAGAACGTGACAAAATCAACAACCACTTTTACATGTATTCATCCTTTGATCAACTGTAGCATCTCATGGTTAAATATGATCATGATAATAACATGAAAGTAGTGAGAAAGATCCATAATGCTATTGCGGGTCTTTGTTAAGAAGACACTGTTGATTCTAGTAACATTTAGTTGTGTAGAAAAACACGTACTTAAGACTTATTTTACAAAGTTGTAAAGTTGAGTTGTAATTATTTCCTGGTAGACACTTCTCTTCCTGTACATATGCCATTTGACTCACACAAGCATAATACAAGTGATACAGTATACGAAATATAAAACCAAAGATTCATGTTCTCTTTTAAGCTTTCCATAAGTCGAGAAAAGAAAATGTGATCATTTGAGTCATTTTGTGAGAATAGAATAGAGGAAATTCCTGCATATTCCTGTAGGTTCATTTCAGACCTGGGCGTCTGTTGTCTGAGGGTCAGGGCGTAGTTGTTGGCCAGGGTGGACGGGCGGAGGATGATGCTTCCACACTCGGGGTTCACCTTCAACATGTGCTCAGCCTCTTTTCGAGACACATGGAAAAAACACCTGCCGATGCCAAAGAAAAAAACATACACACTTCCTTATTACCAGTGAAGGTTACAAAGGTCCCCGTGTGAGCTATTAGAGGGCAAGGGACGAGAAGTTGTTTATCAGTTTAAGATTAGCAGTAACTGGAAGGGATTTACTCTGGGCCATCAACAATGCACCAAACCCTGTTGCATAATGTTTTATATCGTGTGAAAAAGGTTCAACATTTTAATGTATGAACAGGCAAACTTCCCCCAGATGATTGCTTACATGTGTAATACACGTTTTCCTAAATTCGATGTGTAAATATGCAAATTAGGTTAAACAATTTGGTATTAAATATGGGCTAATTTACATACATACATACTTGTTATTTATGTTGAATTATCACAGTCAAAGTTTCACAAAGATTCACTTTTGGACATTTCTTTATGACTCCATTAATCACAATATACTTTCAACAGCCATAAATTATATAAAAAAACAACTATTTGCCTTGTTTTTAGTAGTAAAATGTTCCATAAATGACACTATAAATAGTAAATAAACATGTGTTAAAAACTCCAAAATGTAGATAGGAAAGAAAGTATGGTGCTGCTGAAGTGGTAACTTTTGGCTAAGTCTATTAAAGAACTTTAACTAATACTTATTCACTAGTCTGAGTCTCACTGTTGTGTCCCACGCGGACTGCTAACTGTTTCTGGAGAAAGACTGAAACTTACGCAGGAATCTCAGGGCTGTTGTCAGTCTTGTCTTTGGGCGGTGTGGAGGAGGGGGAGGCAGATGCTTTGGGGGATTGGAAGGGGGAGGGTGTGCAGAGGAAGAGTGGGCGGGGTGGAAGTTCTGGCCGCTGCGTGGTGGGATTCCTTTGCCTCTCCTGATCCAGAGCATCCTGCAGCTGCAACATCTGGCCAGGCAGCAGCTGCAGCTTACTGGGAATCTCTCTCTGCAGAGAAACAGAGATCATCTGTAATAACAATAACTTTTATTTTTTGGTCTGCAGACATTGCTTCCTCCTTCTATTTATCCTTACCCTCACTATAGCCTAAGTATTGAGGGGAGAGTGTTCCTAGTATTTACTTAATATTTATTCATATTTTAAATATTTATGTCCAATAGATCAGATTAGAAATACTTCATTGATGCCAAATTGTGAATGTAAACCCGCCAGAGTGTCTTTAGGTTTGTATGTTTTCTTACTTTAACCACAGTCAGGATGTAGCCTCTCCACTCCTCTCCTGTGTCAGAGTTGTCCATCTGTACAGTCACACAAACAGCCGACATGTTGGTAATATGTCACAGTCCATATCTCTTTGTTAATTTAAATGTTTTTATGTATTCAATTGAGTTTTTGAGTTGCAAGGAGATAACAAAACCCCACCTGTAGTTGCACCTCCTCTGTCTGCAGCGTGAGTGTGAAGATGGTTGGGGTCTTCTTCTGATACGGAGAATGTAACTGCATGGACTTCAGCTTCCCCAGTTCCAGCTTCTCTGTGTACTGAGAAAGTACACAAACTATTACTTGTTGTGAGACACATAATAATCAACAAAACATGTATACATTGATAGGGGTGAGTTATGATGTGAATATAAGAAAAACGAATGTTCGCACCCTGGCCTCTGTGTCTCCTTCTTTGAATTTGATTGTAAAGCTTAACAATCTATTCTCTAATAATTGTTAAATTCACAGTTTGATGAACTACTGTTTATTTACTTGTTGTTATGTACATCACAATTCTGCTTCCACTTGTCAAATCTACATGTTGCTTACTGTATCCTGAGTGTCATCTTTGTACAGAAACAGAGTGGCTCCTCGGAGCTCTCCGTAGTATTTCTTGAAATCCTGAAAATCAAAAAACAGCGTTTTGAATACGTGGCAGCAAAATGTAACACAGTTGTAAAACATTATCATTTATTAGTCCTCTCTTCTCACACACACATTTTCCTGCCTGAATCCCCCCCCCCCTCGCTCTCACCTTCTCTTTGGTGAGTTTCTTCCTCAGGTGTCCGGAGTAGTAGAGAGGCAGATCTGTGATGGTCGCCCTCCTCTTGTGGACGACTCTGTTAAACATCGTCCAGAGAAATCTGTTTGCTTATCCTGGCCTGGTTTTCTTCAGGTTGGGCTCACTGTACCTCTGTTTGTCATCAGTGTTGAATAAACAGCTCAGTTGGGTCCTGATAAAGGTCCTTGTTGTTTCCTCGTGCAGCTCTCAAAGCAGTGATGGATTCACGATGAGTATTCAGTATATCTCAGACTGTTATTGGTCTATAAACCTGCACTGATAAGATCTTCATTACCTTCAATCTTTGACCGGATTTGACTCTGAACATAAGGAAACACTGCAGTGATTTATGAAGAAGGAAGTAGATGTAGAAACTATCCCAATGATATATTCACTTTTGTACTTTGAACCGAGGCGGAACTAAGTTAAAAATCAGTGTTAATGTGCAAGCCAGATTAATGATTTCCATTTAAAACATGGTGCAGATAGGAGGCTCAATGTCAGCGTGATGCAATGCATTCTTGGACATTTTCTAAAAATGTGATATTAAATACCCTTTGTTATAGTTTTTAAATGTACAAGGTGTCTTTGTTTCCGTAAGAAACAAAGCAGACAATTAGATACATATTGCTTACTTTCTATTATTATTGTTGATGTTTTAACGTATTTATGTAATCATAAATAGTGTGTATTTATATTAAGTCACATGAATAAAAAAAACACACACATCTAAAGTGCATTAGATAATAAGTTGTGCGGTAAAAAGGTTATTGCATATATCTTGTAAATACGTAAAATAATTAAGAATATTCTTGTATGTAAAGTATTACCTAATATACTGATATAGCCTACATTATTAATGTATCTGTTTCCAAATGTAGCTTTTTCTGAATAGATGCCATTGTGGTCACAAGTGACGATTATTTGAATTGCTTAAACCTATCGAAGTTGTGTAAGGCTAGCCCAAGGAGAGAGGAGCCATCAAGTTATCAAGCTGACTCACTGTTTGTTTGACTCAGCAAAACCTCTCCAATGTTTGCTAACATTAGCAACCACATGCTATCTATTCAATAAATAGAGAGATAGATAGATCGATAGGTGATTTATTGATCCCAAATTGGGAAATGATTTAGTTACAGTAGCAGCAGTGTGTTCAGGCATTACAATCTTTAAAATCTTTATACATTTATAAATATAATAAAATAAAGTGGAATAAAATAAAAAATAATAAACAGCAACAAGTCTACATGCATAACTACAGTAGAAGGGACATGAACCACAGGAATACTCAATCTAAAAGGTTAGACATTTTAGAAAAAAAGGTTTTAAAATGTATGCATATGATATATAAATTACATATTGTAAGAGTTGGTGAGGTCCTGATAATTTATTCCGGGAAATTACTCTGACCTACTAATTGACCTAACCGAAGTTATTGAGTTTATGTAAGTTTACTGCTTGGCTCAGATCCACCAACGTCAGCAAGATCTCCCCTCTATTAACTCCCTGAAGAACCAGGTTCAATTAACTGCTGTTTCAATTCAGACAACTCTCTGTTTAAGCGATCCCGAAGGATTTTGATATCAGTAAATGAGGTGTGGCCCTACCTAAGTGTGAGTGTGGCAGGGTGTAATCTTACCTTTGAAGCAGGAGAGGAGAGCGCAGATGTCTTTTAAGTTGTCCCAGTCCAAAAGGTGGGATCAGTTTATTTGAAGAAAAATAGGTCCAAACTAATAAAGGGTTTTTACCTTCTCTCTTTACAACATTATAATCATACTAAACCTATCATGCTGTGATCATGTTCAAATATGAAACTTTAATTCACAGTTTTACATTTATTACCATAATTTTTTACTTCAACGGCCCAATTCAGTTGTGACATTTAAAATATCTCGATAGAATTTAAAGGCATTTCCTCTTAAAAGACCGGTGTTAATAAAAAGCACATTCAAACTTTCATTTTCACCCAATCAATTCACATCAATTTCATACCTTTTTTCCGACACAGATGGCGGGTACTAACATTCAAAAACCCATACTAATCCGCATGAATTCGGAGGAAGATTCCTCACAGGTGGCGGGCCTAATATTCACAACCACACTCCTATATTCCAACACAGATGGCGGGTATTAACATTCAAAAACCCATACCTATCCGCATGAATTCGGAGGAAGATTCCTTACAGCTGGCGGGCCTAATATTCACAACAACATCTCAATTCATTCCACTAATTTCACAAAGAAATTCACTCAGCATTCAACCAAGAAATTTGAGAGATATTTACCAAGTCTGAGAGAACCTTACCAAGAGCTATTAACCCAGCTCTGAGGGACAGAGCTTTTACCGAGAGAGAGCATACCAGGGGAACCCCCCTCTCTCTCTCGCTCTCTCCCAAAAAGAAAGTTCCTCCCCATCCGCCAGTGTCTTTATGCTCGCTAAGACACCTCCTCCACACCCATATTTGTGGAAACTGGGCATGGCCTCTGATGTACAGGACTGGACATGACCAGACATATTCTATGGCTATGTCATAAGACACACCTTCCCATGTTTGTGTAAAAAGGACATGACCCCTACTCTGCAGGACTTGCAAAATATTATTCTCGGCTATGACATAACCACCTTTTTGGGGCCTCAGTGTATTTCTCCTTAAGTCAGGAGCCCCCCTCCCTGTGTACTGCTGTGAGAGAAGAGGGAATAAACTGTCTCTCTCTTATCAGTGACACCCATAAACCATTATAGGCCTCACACTCAACTTAACAAACCACTTGTGTTTTGTTTATACTGTAAATATAGAAAATCATAAAATATGAAGCATTTTCATTGTGGTTTATACAAGAATATAATTGATTATAGTTGATTATAACTAACTGTCGTTTTAATTATTCAACCTGATATGGAGACCTCAACACCCTCTTTTTAAAAAGCAAAGTTATCAAAACAGCAACAAATAAAATTGTAAGCATACATACTGTATATTCAAAAACCATCAAGAAGCATTCTCATTATGGGTTTATACAAGAATATGATTGATCATATTTGATTTATAATTAACTTTCGTTTTAAGTATTCACTTGATACTATGATCTCAACAATATGTATACTGTATAAAGATGATCTACTTCAGATTTAAAAAAATTGATTTCAGCTTTCACCTGGTGAAAAAGTACAGCGAAATGGCAACACTGAGAAGCATGCCATACACATACACAGGACTGGTGGTTGCATAAAACACAGCTTCACATGTGTAATGCAGCAGCAGCAGAACGCAGGACAGGAGGAAGGAGGCGCAGCGACACAGCGGGGACGCAGTAACAGAGATGAACCACAGCAGGCCTTTGATCAACAAGAGAAACATCTGGAGGAGACGGAGGAGTGACCAAAGAGTCCAGAACAGCAGACAGCTGAACAGCCACAGAGCTTTGGATGGGAGGAGGACATCAGCATCCTAGAAGACAGCAAGAGAGAGTCTTTTTGTCTCGTATCAGGAAGTTGTGGATGTTTTACAGAGGGATGGGGTTAATGTGGGCTTACATAGTCTTGTGCATTGTTGTCTTCTCGGCCCACTGATCCCACTTGAGAAAGAAAGAGACAAACAAGTAGAAATATGACACTGCAAGGGAGAGAAAATGTGGATATAACAGTTGCATTAATAATTCATTTATCTAATAAAAGATCCCCTTCACAAACTCTACTATTGTTTGGCACATTAGGACATTTGGCTGTACACTTCATTCATTCAGCACATGCATGATCAACCTTTATGTCACTTACTGAAGAATGTGAAAGCCAGTAAGGCAAGTAGCACACAGATAATTGTCAGCATTTTCACCATCTGTCGGCTCCTTCTCTGTGCTCCAACCTGTTTATAGCAAAAGAAAAAAATACTTCTCTTACTTTTTACCTCATACACAACAAGTGATCTGTTGTCAAATTGTAAAATAAATATGAATTGTAATATAACTCGTATATTGTGATTTTGTTATTGGTTATGTATAGACTGCCTACTTTCTTTGATATGGTTTTATCCCAAGTCACAGTTCAAGTCACATCTACTAGTACTAATGCAAAACTACTGTTGTCATGCAATGAAACTAACATCAGTATTAAAAAGGACTCTCTTGAGAAAGCGATTTTTAATCTCAGAGACCTATCCTGGTTAAATAAAGGTCAAATAAAAAAAACAAAATAAAAAAAGTGTATTTGTTGCACCACCAGCTACAATATCTAACAATAACTATAATCTCAACAGCAGTAGAAGCCCTTTTACTTTAACTCACCTGTGAGCAGAAGAGGCCCTCTGCTGCCTGCTTCTGATTCCTGCAGATGATGATCATGTTTGGAAGAGAGTGGTGGTCTTTCAACTCTTCAGAACCTCTGAGTGATGGTGATGCTGAGTGCCAAACATCATCACCCTCGCTGCCATCGGAGCCCCTCAGGTGGCTGAGACGCCTGATGGGGGATAGAGAGCGGCTGCTCATGGTTCCTGCTGTGGGTCGTCCAGGAGTCACTGAGCAGGTTTGTCCCGTGTGTGCCAACAGGGTGTGACGCTGAAAATAACTGCCGGCTCGCAGACGCACTGCTGTACCACACTCAACCTCAACATGCTGCTTTTGTTGGATTGTGTCAACATGTATTCACTTTTATACATGAATAAAAGATTTAAAAGCCGTTTCTTCTTTCTATTCTAATGTTTGTCATAAATATTATCGACAAAGACTTATAAATCAAACTTAATGCCATCTGTGTCAAATGCTTTTTGTTATTTAACTGATATTAGACAGTTTTAGTTGCTGTTCATATTTGGTAAGTTCATATTTTATTCATTATCCAATTTTCAAATAAATAGCTCGCTGTCTAAGGCCATCATTTCCCTTTTTTGAAAGGTGATGCCCTGAGGTGAGTAAAGCTAAATGCTGTTGATCAATTCAAGATGTGGTTTTCATGCCTTTTAAGCTGCTGTGCCTACACCAACATACCAACACTGAGTGAAAACATTTCAATCTCTCCTCTTCCTGTAACAGCATTCAGTAAATAACTCCTGTGTGGAGGAATGACTCAGTACGACGAATATTTTCTCATTAAATAAAATGATGCTGAAAGTCTCTATGTGCCAAGTTGCCAACCATATACAGTATTTATGTCTCCCTCTCAGGACTAATTCGTTAAGGATTCAAGCATCTTCTGAAGCCATGTGAAAGAAAATTAAAAGAACATGATATCAACTTTTAAATGCCTATACTGTACACATGGTAATTAAACGTAGACTTCCACAGGCCTAGCTCATATCACAGAACAGAGCCTGAAGTCTTTCGTACCCTATGGGTTTTGTTGTCTAGACCAAAAATAACCCCTTCACACTTGTGTCACTGTTCACTTAGCAACCGCAGCTTGTCTCATAAAGTCCACCAGAGAGTTGGCTGCAGGAAAACTGATGCCTCAAAACAGCTCATTACTGTGAGACTGTTGGAGGTGGTGAGCAGCCAGTCAAGTGGTGTTTTAGATCAAAGTGAATCAGGGGACGTTGTTTTCTTTTAATTAGTTTAAGCAAGTGTCAGCTCTGTGCAAACTTGCTGATATTATTTCCTATAACCAAGCAAAGCACTGAGAACTACTGCCCCCTAATGATGCAATTCTCTACTACACGTGTTAATGGACTGTAAAGGCCCTCAAGTAAATAGCAAGGGATTTTGGGCTTCAGGGGTAAAAGGTGTTTGACTTTACTTTAAGAAGTTTGAACATAAAACACTACCCTAGTAGTTGTAGATTAGATTAATGGTCGATCAGATTTACTTTTAACATTATAACATTCAAATCACTAATGTTGAACCTAACTATTCTAACTCTCCTACCCAGAAAGACCACACTCAACCAAATCAAACCACAATGAAGTATTCAAAACAAAATAAGAACAATTCAATCAGAATAAAAAAACAACAATACAGATAATAAACAAGCCACAAAGGCTGTACCCTGTTTTACTGTCAGTTCCCCTCTTCATCCATTTCAGATCCATTTAATATTGTGTTTTGAAAAATGTGTTAATACTTACAAAATGTTCTACATGTTATCATTGTATCACTTTTTATGTTTTCAAAATGAAAATATTTTTTGAATTGGACCTCACTAATAGTTTCTTGAACATTCTGATTACTCTCATTTGAAACCTTGAATGAATCCTCTAAGGTAAACTTGAATTTTAATCCTTGCTTTGAATGTAATAAATAGTAGGTTTGCTGATTATATCCAGTATGTATATAAACACAGTAAAAACAATGTGCCCCCACCATGCATCTGCTCTCTAGATGCTTCCTTCAGACTGATGCCCACTGCTGGCCACAGATTTCTTTCTCAGCGGTGTGCTTTGACCTCGCTGCTGCCTGTGGCATCTCCCACCTCCTCCCTAAATCCCTCATGCTGGCGAGGAGGCCAGGGAGACGCTCACTAAGGAGAGAAAAGATTCAGCCTTCTCCATCATGGGGCCCCTAATGATGCCCCCCTCAACCACTCACTGAGGAGAAAAGGGCCACAGGGGTGACAGAGAAAAGGGATAATATGTTGGACTGATGAAGCCTCTGAAACAACAGCATATGTAATTTGACTCTAAATAATGTAAATAAAACATGACACGTGAAGTCATTTCATATTTATTTCAAAATGTTTGTAAATGATGTTTCTATCTTGTCATTCATTTTGTAATCTTACAATTTCAGTAAATTCAGTTTTGAAATCATCCTATTTGAGGAGGAATGACTTTCGTCTGAGCTGCCCTGATCAGCTGTAAGGACACGGAGGCCCTGAAAGAGAAGACAGAACACATTAAAACTGAACTCATATCAGACAAAAGTCATCATATGTTGATGCAAACTCACCGAAGTGGTCTGGATTATGGTTAGCTGGCAGGCCAGGGTAAAAGGTGAGGCAGGGGTCGGACCATCCCCAGGCATCATTACAGGATCGTGGCTGCTTGTGGTAAACGCCGCAGGGGGCGTCACCTCCTTGGAAACAAACCAGTTTCTGTCCAGGATCACTTTCATTTGTCTTCAATGCAATTGTCACTTGTTCTAATTAGTGAATTGAAAAATGACATGCATGTCTGTGTTCCTAGCTCTTAGTATGCATGTATATCTATGTCATCTCCTATTCTAATGGTTGAAGTGATGGAGGAGTGGAGGAGTAAGCGGGCTTGTAATGAGAGGTGGAGGTGGGGGGGAGCAGAGAGCCTGCTGGCTGAGAGGACAGAAGCCTGGGGAGGGGGGGTGGATCTCCTGCTGCGGAGGTTGTTTCAGTCAGAGTAATGTTTACACCGGCTTTACTCATCATTGTGTGGTCTGGAACTAATGTCTGTGTCTGCTCTGCAAAAACATCCATCTACACTTGTGCTTCTTTCACAGTGGCATGATAACATCTTATGTGAAAAAGGCCTATTAAGCAAAAACAAATAAATGTATCACCAGAGTTAGAAGAGGAAACCTATACTGATCTTGTTATTTAGTAAAAAAAAAGAAAAAAGAACAGTATAGAAATACTCTGTAACAAGTAAAAGAACAAATATTGCCATCAAAATATACTTAAAAGTTAACCACTAGGCGGAACAATTCATTTTAAATCTGTTCATTATGTTGATTTAGAAAATAAAAAGCTTCAATATTTTTATTTAGTAAATCTGCAACATAACATCTGACAAAAGTTATGAAAAAAAGTTGGTTGAGTAAAATTAACAACATTTTCCTCTTAAATGAAAATAATGTACTCTTACACCACTGCTGTTACCTTCTTTGTGTTTGCTGCACTTCCTGATTCCCAGAATCCCACTGATGGAATAGGTGGATTCAGAGGAATAGGCGGTTCCCGTGGAAACAGATGAAGCTGATGACACTGCAGGGTCAGAGGTCATCGTCAGGAAACATCAGAGATGCACAAGTTAGGCCAAGAGAGAAAAGATGACTAAGACACAAATGACTTACCAACTTCGCAAGACTCCGAGTTGACTTTGTTTCTGATGATCCTGTAAAGACAGAGGGACTTCACTCAACACTTGTTCTGATGATCTGCGTAGTCAAGCACACATAAGGTCTTCTGTTACCTGTTGATGGAGCTGATGCTGGGCACGCTGTCATGGTCGCACACTCGCTCCAGCAGCAGCTTGTCTCGGATCTCCCAGGCGAACATGCTGGGGTTGGTGTGTTTCAGACGCACGATCATTTGCACAACGCAGGGAGTGGCCACTTTGGGCTTAGAGCCTCCAATCAATCCTGGTCTAATGCTGCCTGTCTCATTGTACCTAAACTCACAATAATGAGCTGTCAGCAGGGGAAACATCTTACCTGAGAAAAAAGTTTCATAAATACAGGCCCTGATGTGACTTATGTATCTATACTTCTCTATTTGCAATAAAGTGAGATAAACCACAGGAAATCAGTATACTCAAAGTACAGATGGATAGTCTTGAGATGCATCTTTATGAAAAATCATTATTTCTAAAAAATGCTTACTGGGTTGAAAAACATAAATATTGAATTTAATTAAAATGTGAGGATAGGCACATATAAGCCATGCAAATAAAAACGAAATACAGTTTCAACATATTACGAAACATTTCCAAATGATGTAGATTTAAGTGGTGTGTATTGCATTTTTAAATAAAGATAGGTTATCATCATTAAGGGCACACACAATCTGCTTCAATACAAATAACTATTTATATAGCCTATTAGCCAATACAATGTTGAAAAGGCTATTGACCACAAAGAGTTTACCTGGCCAGTATTTTGCTGACACAGCCGTGGCTGACGCGCAGGCGGCGGGAGATTTCACAGGGACGCACGCCCTGCAGAGCGAGCTCCACGATCCGCTGTCTCACCGCGTGCGGCAGCGGGCGGCCGTTAATGAACACTCCGCCGAGCTGGTTCACCCCGCCGAGCCCTGAGCACCGGTACGGTTCGGAGAAACACCAATCAGAAGGTATGGCTACACAGCATTACAACTTAATTTACTGAACGTAGGCTAAGTGGATAAAAGAAGGTCCATACGCTATGATTGACTAGAGGAGGCAACTTTAATTTATATGAAAAATTGTTACTCACTGTGCGTAATGTTGAGGGGCACCTGTCCAAAGCGCGCGTCCATCACAGACTGACTGTAGTCCTAAGTTCTACAAGCTGTTCGGACTAAAGTTTATTTGTTTTCGAGGACGACATTTCCCACTCATTTGAAAAATAAATCTGAGATAAGAAGTTTGTCCCGGTGGTTTATCGTCTGTGGTGCGCAAGGACTCTGTGACTTCAGCACCTGAGCGGTGGATAGCTGCACGAGTCTTTGATTGGGTACACACGCAAGGGTGCACGCGCTCCATTATCTTTTTGCTTTTTGTAGTGAAGGAACTACAGTCAGTTCTTGTGATCAGGACTTAACTGTAGATTTGAGTTTTTTTGTCTTTTGGTCCACCAGTCTAACAGTTATCGGTTTATCTTAAAACTGT